AGCGGGGCCAGGTTGTCCTTCACCTCCGTCCACTCGGCCGGCACCGCTTCTCCCATTCTTTCCATCCAAGTGCTCGCGTGGTCTAGACCGAAACGCCAGTACGCCAACTCGAACGCCGGGTTGCGCGTCACGTTCGGGCTCGTGTCCTCACTCACGACGTACATCGGTGGGCCTAGATCGAAGAAGCCGGTGCTCGCGTTCCGGTGGGCATAGACCGCCATCCAATCCGCCGTCGCATGCACCACGTCGTGCCACTTCTCCAGCGTCGCCATCGACCGGGTGGCCCGATACTCGTACTCGGCGAACACGAGCGGGTGCGGCTGTTCCCAGATCAGGAGCTCGTTGATCTCCCCCGGGGCTGACCGCCCAGCTGGATCGGTCATTTTGGACCAGCGCGCTCCAGTGGAATAGCCTTGCTGGACTTGAGCGCGTTGGATCGCGGTGGGGAGGAACCGGGAGTAAACGCTGCTAGCGCGGTTGAGGAGGTCCCAGTTGTTCCAGAGCGCCCAGTGCGCACTGTGCCAGAAGAACATCTCCATGTGGAACTTGCCGTACTATAGAGCATGGTCAGTCTCCCCGTCTCGCTGTCGACCATCTTGCTCACCCATCCATTGTTGACTAGGCCGGACTACGAACTGTCAGTCAACAGCGGCGATGGCATGCGGCGACGTGGCTTACCTCTTGCGGAGGATAATCACCCGCCTCGTTCACTCGCAACAGATACTGCGACAGGATGATGCGCCGTTGCAGCTCCTCCGCGCGGGCATCAGTGGATCCCGTCAAAACGTCCACGAAACCGTGATTGGACCAGAAGTCCTCCCAAGCCTGCTGGGACTCGCGCTGGATCTCCTTCACGCCCGATACTGCCTGGACTGCCCCCGGCGAATACGCGACTGCGACGGAGAACTCCTTCTGGCCGCGGCGCGGGACGATCTCGTAGCGGTGCGCATCCGGCGAGACTCGCTTGGCAGAGAAGGCGTCTCCTCCGACGGACGCGAAGAACGTCGTGGCGTCCATCGTGTGCGCGATCTGCGCCTGGATATTACGACCTAGCCCACCGCCCGTGCGCAACGCCG